AAACAACTTCATGGTAATAGTAAGAAAAATAATAAAATAGGGATAAATTTAATCAAAGAGGGAAACATTTGTATACTGAAAACTATAAAATATTATAGAAAAATACTATTGAGTGGAATGATATACTGTTATATTCATGGATTGGAAGACTTAATATTGTTAAGATGCTTTTATTATCCAAATTGTTCTACAAATCAGTTTAACCCCAAATCAAAATCCCATGATGTTTGCTTCAGAAATGTAAAAAAAATCTATGCTAAAATTCATACAGAATCTGAAGGGACTCTGAATAGCCAAAATAATTTGAATGGAAAGAATGCACTTGGAAGACTCATACTTCCTCCAAGGACAGAATTAGATGACTTGGATGGACACAACACTACAATACACTCAAACAGTATGGTACTGGCATACAAAGAGACATACAGACTAATGGAACAGAATTTAGAGCCCCAAAATAAACCCATAAAAATAAAAATTTAAAAGCAAGTTACATATTTCTAATATATAAATATATAGGGTAAACATTCCCATTCTAACGAGGAAGAATAGGGTGATAAAAAAGAATAGGACCAAAGCAAGACCAAAACCCAGAGAGCAAACATTAAGTCCAGTAGCTCCTTTTCAGAATTCAGGGCATGTGGTGGTGACATGTGAATTCCAAAGAGCTTGGGCAACCCCACCCAGGTGGTCTTGCAGGTATTAGCCCATATTAGGGCTGGCTCTGTATTTGGGTTGTGTCTTTCCTCAGCAGATGTTTCCCATTCTTGTTATCTCCAACTTCATGCGTTCCTTTGGCTTAATTCCCAGTTTTTGGACTCCTCTCTCAGAAGACATTGCTTGCCTTCTCAGGACCTCCTTTGAAATCTGGGTAGAAGCTTCTATTACTCTGCAACTCTTATATCTGCATGCCCGAATAACCATGACATGGATCATGTCAAGGGCTGAAATGAACTCCAAGGTTGCCCCCCTGGACAATATCTGAAGAGGCCTCTGAGTGCTTGGATGGCTGAACAGGGTGAAATGAATCCCAGGGTAACAATTTCCTATATGACTGTTCTCTAGCAGAGTCCCAACCTTTCTCAAATGAAAGGTTTATACTTTTGTAGTCTTAAGCTTGCAATAGGTGGTGTCTTGCGGATACCTGAGATACCCTCAAAGCAATAGGTGCTGTCTTACGGATACCTGAGATACCCTCAAAGCATCTTTGTTTCTTGTTGTCTCAGTTCAAAGCACTTGGCTTCTTTTAAATTGCACTAATGTCTTTGGCAACCATACTTTCTTTGGCCCCCAGATTTATATGTGGTTTTACTGGAGCCAAAATTTAAGTGGTTCAAATTTTGATTCTCTGCTCTTTGCTCCTGATTCTCAAAAGCAGCCTGCAGTACTCATACCATCACCTGAACATTGGATAGATTTGAAATTTTCTTCTCCACATCAATTAGCTTATTGCCCTTAAGATCAGCTATACACAAAGTTTTAGGGCGTGGATAAACATAGAAAAATGGTTTTCCAGAATAAAACATGCATGTCCTCTTGTCTAATTGCCAAAAGTCATGTTCTCACCTGAAACTTCATTAGTCTCGCCTTCACTCTCTGCTTTCCTATCAGGGTTCTGGTCTTTGAGCTCTAACTAGAGCTACCCATCAAGCTCTGCTTACAGAAAATCACAACTACTATAGCCTGCATCTTTAAGTCTGTGCAAATTCATCCCACACACTTTCCAAAGCCTTCTCTGAACTATATGGTCAGGTACCATTACAACAAAGACTACACATCTTTGGTACCAATTTTCTGTAATGATGAGCTTTCCTATTGCTGGAACAAAACATGAAACACAACTTAAAAGAAGAGAGTTTTAGTTTGGCTCATGGTTTCAAGAGTTCAGTCCAAGGTCTGCTAGCCCCAAGGTAGAAACATCATAGTAGAATCAAGTGGTGGAGTAAAGCTCCTTATTTCATGTAGGCTGGGAAGCAGAGCAGGGGAATAGTATCAGAAAAGGGCAAAGACAAGATATTGTATGCAAGGTTACACCTCTATGAATCACTCAGATCTAATCACTCAGAAGTTTGATTTACTAATCCCTTATGTGGCTCTCAGTTAATCATATTAACAATCTGGCTTAAGAGTCAAATCAACTAAACTGCTATCATCAAAAAATCAGATAATAACAAGTGCTGGCGAGGATGTAAAGAGACTGAAATCTTTGTGCATTCCTGATAAGAAACTGGGTCAGCCACCAAGAAAAACAGAATGGCTACTCTTATAAAAAATAAAACATAAAGTTAACATATGACCCAGGAATTTCAGTTTTGCGTAATTACTAGAAAGGGGAGAAGCAGGATCTGAAATAATGTGTGAACACACATGCTCAGTGCAGCATTAAATATAACAGCTTAAAGGTTAAAAACAGCCCAAGTGTTCATGGACAGATGAACAGATAAACAAAATTAGTATAACATACAGCAGAATATTACTTGGTTTTAAAGAGGAAAGCAATTCTTTTTTTTTTTTTTTTTTTTTTGGGACCAGGGATCAAACTTGGGACCTTGTACTGGCAAGGCAGGTGGCAGAACCACTGAGCTAAATCCCTGGCCCAAGAGGAAGGAAATTCTAACACATCCCATAACATGGATGAACTTAGAAATTTCGCTGACTGAAAGAAACCAGTGACAAAGATGAATATTGTGTGATTCCATTTATAAGGTTCCTTTAGTAGGCAGGTTTATAGAAACAGAAAATAGGATTCTGAAACAGAATTCAGGAATTAAGGGGAGAAGGGAATGGAGACTAACTGCTTGACAGGTATATAGTTACAGTTAACGAACATGAAAAAAAATTCTGAAGATAGATGGTTGTGATGATTGCACAACAATATGAATGTAATTAATGCCACAACTACAGACTTTAAAATGGTTAAAATGATAAACGTTATAGTATGTATTTTTTACTACTAATTTTTAAAAGCAAGATTTTTTTGGTATTTTAAAACAAGGTAAACCAAAAATACTACACATTAATAGCATAACATAAGAGGGAGGTTCTCATAATTTAAGTCTTTTGAGGTCTTTTTAATATTAGGAAGAAAACTGCTGACACTGATTAATTTTGGAATTTGCAATGTGAAGCACATGTATTAAAAAGCTAAGACTAACCAGTAAAGAATAAAAATAAAATTTATGATTTCCAAACATGCATGCTCTATTTGGAGAAGTTCCAAATAGAACATAGTTTTATAGTATTTACACTTATTATTTATTTCATAGAAAATATTTGGTAAAAATACACACACACTTTTATGAAGAAGAAACAGGTAAAAATTTAGGTGGAGTCTTAAAACTATACTGAAAATACCATACCATTACTTTAAACTTGTTCATATTTTAAATTACAGAGTGTGGGTTCACAAGTGTATTTTATGCTTTATATTTTTAGAGATCAAAAATATAAACCTATAAAACATTTCAGGAAATATTCTGTTTATTTTCAGGAGGAAGGATAACTGCAAATTTGGAAGAAACAAACACAAAAGGTGAAAAATATATAGCTAAAACTCCTAAATATCTCTGAATTCTATGTTTGAATTTAAAACAGGAAAATCTGAGGGGCCCAGGATTTAGCTCAGTGGCTCTGCAGCTGCCTTGCAAGCTCAAGGTGCTGAGTTCGATCCCCGGTACTGCAAAAAAGAAAAAAAAAAAAAGAAAGAAAAGAGAATCTGGCTCGGAATAAAACCTTGTTCAGCAGATAGGTCTATAGTGGTACCCTGGTTAATTGTTAATTGGTTCCAGAAAGTGCAACAGTACCAAAAACGAACAGTACAAAAACATTTTTTTGGTTGGAAAGCACCGCAAGTTAGAGGCACTTCACATGAACAAGTTCTAATTTGTGCATTCCGTACCAAGCAAACTATGAGTACCAGGATAAAATTTTTGAGTCAAAATTCAAGTACCAAGCTCAGTGAGTTTCAAAGTAGTAGAGTACCAAAGTACAGCTGTACATATAAGGAAGAGCTGTACATATGAGGGAATGGTGATAATACAAGATGTAAAGAACACGAACAAGACCTAAAACATGTCCAATATGTAAAATATTTTCAAAATAGCATTTACAATTTAAAAAAAAATTGTACCTTTAAGTTATTTATTCCATATCTGAAATTTTTGGTAAGGAACAATCCTGAATGAGGAGACGATGAGATGATAATGTGTAGAGGTAGTGTTTGCAATACAATTTATAATGCAAATTAGAAGCTACTAATTGCCTACTAGGAGGATAGTTATCACTTGCTGGATTTTTGTAGCCATTTTTAATGACTACCATAAAATCTCCATAGCAACAAGGGAATAGTTGATGATATGTTAAATGGAAATAGAATAAAAAGGCTTGGGGAGGACAGAACAACACTGTTAGAGAACCCAAAATCGGGGTCTAGTCTAGGGTGCGAAGACTAAAACTACTGTGGGAGGAAAATTTGAAGTGGGTGTCCAAAAAATTCAATAGTCAAAATAAATAATATTTTTAAAAGTCAGAATTAATCTGAAAACTTCCACAATGGGAAAAATTCAAAACTTTAAATAAAAACATGATCTGAACTTGCACTTGGTTCAACCTGAATGAGCCTCACTTGCTTCAAATTCGTACCAAGGATGCTGTCTTGTTTAAAAATTTGAAACCTTCTCCATTACTGATATTTTTGCATTGGTTTTTAATTTTAAAAAAGTCGTTGATTTTTAAAAAATTACCTTGAAGTACCTTGAATTGGCAGCCTCTTAAAATCTGTGCCTCAGGCCAAGGCCTCCATACAAAATCATGCAGTAACCATGTATTAGAGTGGCAGCACATTTACGTGTACAATATTTTAAATCCTAAACTACAAGTGGAGTTCTCCGGGATTCTTAGGACTCAAAGCAGTGGCTTAAATTTTCCAACTCAGAAAGAAACCGGGTGACAAGGGAGGTAGGTGGGAGGCTGGGAAACGGCCCTCCGCCCTCGCGCCTCACCAGGAAGCGGACGTTAGCCGCTCCAGGGACGACTGTGCCGCGGAGCTCATTATGGAGATCTACATACTCATTGATAAAGTCTACGTCTTCCTTGCGTGGCAAAAATTTGGCGTTCAAACCGGCGCCCAAGAGAAGTATCCACAACTCACAGAGACACAGCTTCCAAAAGCTCCCTCTTGTCAAGGGGAGCGGCTGGGAGCCCCACTAAGGGTCAACGGGCCTTGGGGCCTTCTTGATACGCCAGACAGGCCCGTGCGCATGCGCCATCCCGTCCCTCTGCCCTGCCAATCTACGGGGCGGGGTTGGCAAGCCTGGTTACCAGGAAGAGGAAGAGGGGCTCCCTGAAAAGAGCAAGGGGAAGTGAAAGGAGAGGGCAAGTCAGAACTTAACGGTGGCGCCGGCTTATAATAAATGCTGCCTACTAACTAAAAGGGAGATTTGAATTAAATGAGTACTGTACAGGCTTTTCACCATTCTAGTCTATCGAAATACCTGTTATCTAGAATTGATTTCGGACACTCTTTTCTGTTAACCAACTATCTGTTTGTACTGTAAATGCCATTTGCTGAATAATTAACGTGTCTGAGGAATCTTCTACTTATGCTAGGGAAAATGGTCATTCTTCCTGTGTTGCTGATAAAAATTCAATTAACTTTTCTTTTCATCCTTACCCATTGAGTTGAAAATTTGCTGCATGACTCACCGTTTACTTGTTCATCATGGATAGAATAACCTTAAGGCAGACTTATGAGATACTAGATTTTTCTTTCAGGGTTTTTTTTTTTTTAATTTTTAATTTTTAAATGAACCTTTGCAGAACTGGAGGAAACAAATGTAGAAGTGGAAAGATTTGGGGTGAGCGTAGGGATCATCCAAAGATAGTAAAGGTTAGAATATTTCTATTCTTATCAGGACTATTTAGAAAGGTTGGTTTAGAAAGGTTAATGTTCTTCACTGACAAACTGTCACATTCACAGTACTCAACTCATTTTTTTGTTTTCATTTTCTTTCTTTCACACAAAAATGGCTAGTAACCTAGCAGATTTTGGTCTGGTCTCTCCAGGCTGAACATTTTGCCAAAAAACAAACAAACAAACAAAAACAACAAAAAACTTGCTTTGAAGAATTTAAATTCTAGGCATAAAAGTAGAAGTGTGCCTAATTTGTTTTAGGATATACATTTATATTTTACTTAGTAAGGAGATATCCAAAATCATTGACATTAGGACAGAATTTTGCTACAAAGAAAGCATTGTAGCCGGGTATTTAGCTCAGTGGTTCCATCGCCTGCCTCGCAAGAACAAGGACCCGAGTTCGATCCCCTGTACCAAAATAAATAAATAAATAAATAAATAAAAAGATATCTAATTTTAAAAAAAGAAAGCATTGTAATTGGTCAGATAAAAATATATAAAGAGAAAAGTACTTTTAAAATGGCCTTCTATTCAATATAATTGAAAAGCAATATACCTGTAAAAGATGGTTTAATTCATGCATTTATTTTTTAATGCATATTACCAAGCAGTGTATTAAATGGTTGAGAAAGGTCACAGACACAGACTTTGCTTTCAAGTAAAAATACAATAATGCAGTTTCAGATTTGGAAGAAATTTTAGACACTTTTATGTATTATATTTATTCTAATACATTAGTGACAAGTGATCATGACATTCTCTGACCAAATAATTACATTAACAAGGAAGTGACCATCTGGACAGCCCATTCCATTGCTAGACATATCATTCATTCATTTGACTAGTATTTCTTTAATATTTTCTATATGTCAAAGCCCATGCTGGATGCTATGCTACAAAAGCTAAACAAGCTAGACATAGAATCTGTCAACAGAAAACTTTTGATAAACGGTGATAAAGATCATTTATCAAGCATTGACAATACAGGGTTGTTGTAACGGCTGTGTCTAGAAGTCCCCCAAAGCCTCATTATTGGGTCATTGATGGGCTTTTTCAGAGGTGGCTGGATCTAGAGTGTGTGATGCTGAGATTAAGGATATGTGATTAGTAAATTAGTCCACTGATTGGTTTGGCATAGTCTGGGCAGGATTACAGGTGCCTCACCCTGGGTGTGAGTGTTACCTACTTTGGGGTAACCTGGATAAAAATATAAGGGACAGAAAGAGGGCTAATGTGGTTGCTTATCGCTTGTAGCTTGCTTGCTTGGTGCCTTCTGCCTTCCATGAACTGTTTCTACTCTGCAATGCCCCTCTGTCTTACCACCCTGCCATGGAGTCAGCTGATTATGGACTGAAAGCTCTACAAACTGTGAGCTAAAATAAATCTTTTCTTCTTTAACTTTGGGTGTTGTGTATTTTGTCTCAGCAACAAGAAAAGTAACTAAGATAGTTATATTATTTTAAATTTCTCTCAGAAACCCTTAATATGTGTGAGTCACTTTTAAATTCTTGGAAAATATCAACTCATTGAGATCATAATATCCTTAAGAAATTGTCATCATCATATCCTTGAACAGATGGAAAAACAGAAAAAGAAGAGAATTTATCTAAAGCTATCTTGCTACTAAGAGCTAATTTTGTTTGTTTAGCTGTTTTGCTTTATTAAAAAATAGTCCTTTTTTAAAAAGAGAAGTTTTATGCTCACAGCAGAATTGTGAAGATATAATTCCTCATGTACCCTTTTTTCCCGATAGGTACATACTCTACCCCATTATCAGTATCTCTCACCAGGCTGGTATATTTGTGACAACTAATGGACCACATGACACATTATTACTACCCAGAGTGTATAGTTTACTATAGGGTTTATTCTTAGTGTGGTACATTCTATGTATCTGGACAAATACGTAGTGACACACATTCAGTGTTTTAGTGTCATTGAGTACAGTACTTTCACTACCCTAAAAATTCTTTGTGTTTTTGTTTCACTATTCCATCTGTTGGCAACCACTCATCTTTTTACTGTCTCCATAGTTTGCCTTTTTTTCACCACTCATCTTTTTACTGTCTCCATAGTTTGTCTTTTTTTCAGTGTCGTATAGTTGAAATCATACAGTATGTGAGGTTTTCAGATTTCTTTCACTTATTAATACTGAGATCATATTAAATCAGTCAAGTTGAGAAGTACTGATATTCTAATAATATTTTGTATTCTTATATATGAACAAGGAATATGTCCATTTATTTAGTTCTTTGATTTATCACAATTTTCTAGTTTTCCTCACATAGGTATCATACATACCTTGTTATGTTCATACATAACTACTGCATTATTTTTGAGTGCTACTACAAATGGTATTGTGCTTTTAATTTCAAATTTCCCTTGTTCATTGGTGGTATATAGAAAAGCAGTTAACTTTTATATATTAACTTTGTGTCTTGCAGTCTTTTTGCAATCACTAATTTTATAATTTTTTGTTGACTCTTTATATAGAGAGATTGTCATTGGCAAATGAATATAGTTTTATTTATTTCCAAGGGGTGTAACTTTCATTTTCTTTTCATGTGTTATTGTGTTAGTTAGGACTTTCAGTATGATGATGAAAAGCAGTGGTGAGAGAGAATGTTTTTGCCTTATTCCTGATCTTAGTAGCAAAGTTTTGATATTTCATTATCAAACATAAAGTTATCTATCGGATTTTATAGGTGTTATTTATTAATATCTTGAGGAAGTTCCCAAGTATTCTATGTTACTGATAATTTTTATCAGGAACAGGTGTTGGGTTTTGGCAAAGGCCTTTTCTGGATCAGTTGATGTACTCATGTGATTTTTCTTCTTTAGCCGAGTGAGGTGATAAACTACATAGATATTGACTCAGGCTTGTTCCACTCAGTTATGGTGTATAATTTGTGTAATAGTTTACTTGATTGGATTTTATACTATTTTGTTCCAGATTTTTGCATCTGAGTTTTGGTATGTAGTTTTAATTTCTTGTAATGTCTTTATCTGGTTTGGTACTGATGACCTTACAGAATGAGTTAGGAAGTATTTATTCCTTCACTTGTATTTTGAATAAGAAGTTCTAGAGAATTGGAATAACAGCTTCAATAAATGTTTGGTAGAATTCACCAATGAATTAATCTGGGCCTGGTGCTTTCTGTTTGGAAAGGCTACTAATTATTGATCCAATTTATTTAATAGGCATATGGCTATTCAAATTGTGTATTTCTTCTGGTCTGAGTTTTAGCAGATTGTGTCTTTCAAGAAATTAATCAATTTCATCTAGGTTATTAAATTTGTGAGCATAGAGCTACCCATAGCATTCCTCAATTACCCTTTTAATGTCCATGAGATCTGTAGTGATAACCCTCTTTTCACTTTTTCTTTAACCAGAGTAGGATCTTATCAATTTTATTGATCTTTTTCCAAGAAACATCTTTGAGTCTCAGTTATTTTGTTTCAATTTTATTGATTTCTGTTCTAATTTTATTATTTTTCTTGTTCTTACTTTGGATTTAATTTGTTCTTCCTTTTCTAGTTTCTTAAGGTGAAATATTTGATGACTAATTTAAAATATCTTCTTTTCTAATATATCTCCTTAATGCCAATGTATTTTTTCTAATGTATCTATTCAGTCTCCCTTTGAACACTGATTTTTGCTGCATCTCCTACATTTTAATAAATATGTTTTCATTTAATTCAAAATATTTTAAAGCTTCACTTGATATTTCTTTCTGAAGTATGTTATTTCCTCTTGATGTGTTTTGGAATTTTCTAGTTATCTTTCTGTTATGTACAGTCTAATTTCTCATTGCCCAAGAACAAACATTATATGATTTCTACTATCTCAAATTTGTTAAGGTATGTTTTATAGTCCAGAATGTAGACTATACTGATGAGTATTCCAAGAGAACTTGAGAAGTATGAGTTATTATGTGATTGTGAGGTGAGATCTCTAGTTGTCAATTATATCCAGTTCAGCTCTGTCCTTACTGATTTTCTGCTTACTAGATCTGTAGATATCTGATGAAGGTGTGCTGAAGTTTCTAACTAAAATAGTAAATTCATCTATTTATTCTTGAGGCTCTATCCATTTTTGCCTTACAAGTTTTTGATGTCCTATTAGTTGTATGCTTCTTGAAGAATTAACTCTTCTACCATGATGTAATGCCCGTTTATCCCCAAAAACCTTCCTTGTTCTGAAATGACTGTGCCTGAAATCAATATAACTACTAGGATTTCTTTTGGTTAGTATTTAGAGCTAGTTTTCAAACCCAGGTAACTAACATG